TAATAACAAACATTGTACAAATAGAAAGAAATATTTTCTTCATTGTACAAAAATTTCGTACACAGGTTGCTTTATATGATGTCGGACTGACTTCCAATTTTGTAGGAGTATACCATTGCTTAAATCTGTCACACGCAGTCGAGGCAGTCAACTTAAACGATGTCAAAGGCAAAATGTACAGAATGCCGAAATGGAGTGGTGTAGAAGGCCAAGAAGAGTGCGTTCTTGCAAATGAGTGGATATGCGTATCTCTACTTACATCTCTAATAGTACCTTAATATTACAAGAAATTCTATACAAAATTTTATACAAGAAATTCTGAAGACAATCAAGACACACGGCAGTGTCTCGCGCCAAGTACGCACAGAGCGAGACGCACCGTGACTCATTTACGCGAACGCACGAGTTGCGAGTACCCGAGATTTTGAGATCTCAATAACGAGTGAACGGATCAAGTTTTAAGTACAATTATACCGACTACTTTTCCAAAAATAATAAACTACACAATCCGCATAGAAATACTATGTATTATTCATATTTTATTATTATACTTTCAACAAAAAACACGAGATTAACATTTGTTAAAAATAAAATGCAGTTTCAAATTACTATATACATTTTGTTGTTTATTAAAATCGTAGCAACATGGAGAAAAAAGTGGAACAAAAGAAAAAAGTTTTCAAAATTTCGAGTACTGGTAGATTACTAAAACCTCCAAGAAAGTTGCTGACATCTTCGGATGATGAGTCTAAACGTCCCAAAAAGAAATTTAAGAGTAGTCAATCCACGAAACGCATGACGCAGGAAATTGACCGACTACGACTGATAGTCAAAAAATTCGAGAATACCGAAGACGACAAAATATATGTTAGTGCATCAGATAATAATGATCCAGAAGTCATCATGTGTGAAAAAACGTAAGTAGATAATAATAGTATATTAATTATTATTAAATGTATTCATTCATTAATAATAAATTCAATTTAACTGTAAACTTCAACATTAAATAAACAAAAAGTAAATTTGAAATTTTTACTTGATAAGCGGCAATGTAATATAAATATGAAATAGAAGCAATAAATACTTTATAAACATATTTATTTATTGTAGTAACAATTTTATTCATGTTTTTTTTTTACATTTTTTGTTTAGGAAAGAAACATTGTCTACCTCTTCGAAAGTTAACAGTGCTGCCCCGATTACTGAAGAAAATAAGAAAGTTTCGAAAACTTCGAGCACTGGTACAATATCAAAACCTCTAACAATGACATCTTCGGACAAAGAGTCTAAACGTCCAAATAAATCGAAGAGTGACCAATCTGTGAAACACATGAAGCAGGAATTGAACAGACTGCGACTAATGACAAAAAATTTGGAGAATTCCGGGGGCGAAAAAAAATGTGTCAATGAATCGGAGAAAGAGAATATTTCAAATACATTTAAAAAATTGAATGATTCAGAAGTTATCACGTATAAAAATTCGTAAGTAGATAATAATAGTATATAATTAAATGTTTCCATTCTCTTTCTCTCTCTCTCTCTCTCTCTCTCTCTCTCTCTCTCTCTCTCTCTCTCGCACTGAAAACAGCCTAGTCAAAATGATGTCAATATGACGTCAAAACCGTCGTTTATCATCTTTTCTGTTCTAGACTTTCTCTGTTATAGAATACAAGTAAAATTCGGTATTATTTATGTGTAAACTTTTTTTAATTTATCGATTAAATATTATATATCTATGTGATTTCGTAGCCATTTTTCATCCCAAATGGAAGTTGATACACCTTGTACGAAAACAAAGGATGAAGAATTATTGGAATTAGGTTCCGATACGGAATTTGCACCAGATGCTAATGAATCTTTGGACGAAAATACCGACGAAAATAATAGTCCATCAATGCTCGACTCCAGACCATATCTAAGGAAGAGATCTCGACTTGCATTTTATCCAGTCAAGAATAATGCAAATGCAACTGAAAATAGTGCTACAACACTAGTGAACAACACTAGTGAAAGTTCCGAAGATGTGATCTATCCTAGTCCTACGCAAAGTCCTACCCTTGCGTCTAAAGTCAAACAGTATTTAAAACTCAAGAGGAAAATTCCTGTAAAACGTATAGATTTTGGATTATGTCCTTCGCCTAAACATACTTCTATGCAAATGGAAAATGTTAGTATATTGAAAGATAAAGTTAACACAAGTTATCTTTTACCAATAAAAGTGCATAACAAGACCGATATCGAAGACGAAACTTTTTATCTGCCTGCAGAACAAACTGCGAATAGAAATAAAATGGATGATTTCAATTTGGATGACACCGAAAACAAGCCACCTAAGAAAAAGAGGTAACTGGATAAGTTTAATGTGTAAATATTACTTAACAATTGTGGTAATGTAAGTTGCTTTTATATATCTAATAAAAATATTATTTACAGATTGTCAAAAAGAAAGGACATTTCAGAGCAGCTTAACATGCGATGTAAAGCTGACAGAGCAAAGGTAAACGGCCAGGATTGCTGGGAATGTAGAGAA